TCAAGCATGGTGGCCCACACTTGTAATCTCAGCTACTCAGGAGGCTGAGGCAGGAGAATCACCTGAACCCAGGAGGTGGAGGTTGCAGTCAGCTGAGATCACTGCCACTGCATTCCAGCCTGGGTGACAGAGCGAGACTCTGCCTAAAAAAAGACAGAAATAAAATAAGTTGCAGTGTTATAAGTGTTACAGGTAATAAAAAGTTTGCTACATGACAATAAGGTATGGTCAATATCATATTGGGACCAGTTTCCTTGAGGAAAGGACAAGATCTAAAGTAATTAGCCAGGTGAAAAGGATGTATTTCAGGCAGAGGGATTAGCATGTGAATAAACTCTAGGAAGGGGAAGAGCACCATGCTTTTCAGAAGTCTAAAAAGCAACAGGACAATATAGGAAAAAGTGGCACTGAGATGAGTTGAAGTATGTGTAATTAGATTAAAGCAGATCTTTCTTGTTGGCCAAATTACGGAATCTGTACTTTCCCTGAGTCATTGAAAGATTTCAAATTAAGAGTGAAGGCAGAAATGTGTGCTTTAACACAAAAAGGTCACTCAAAAGCATTGCAAGGAAAGGGCTTAACCAGTAGGAAGGTTAAGAACCTATTACAGTAAACCAAAAAAGAGATAATGGTGAAAAGCTACTGTGGCCTCAGAGATGATTGTTATTGACTGGATAAAGAGAAGGCTCCCAGTTTTCTTGTTTATACAACCTAGAGGTTGGTTGGGGCTTTTTACTAAGACAGGAAGTTGTTTCTTTATTGGAGGCTGGGGAGCTGCCTGTACTGGCAAGTCAGTGAGTATGGAGTTAACGAATTCAGTTTTGGATGTGTTGACTGAGGGCAAATCTTAGGCATTTAAAGTGAGGGTGTTTAGCAGCTGGATCAATTCAAAAGTGATCTAAGCTTAATGGTGATATGTAATTGGGAAATACTGAAATATAGACAGTAATTAAGTCCTTAGTAAAATCAGTCAAAAAAAACTCATTGTTTACTTCCTTTTCAGACTGAAAGACTCAGAGAAGTGCACTGTGGGAAGACTCTTTGTTTCTGCAGAGCTGAGAAGCGCAATGGAAAATAAAGTCAGGTGCTTTTATTTTTATTTCTCTCTAAGTACTCACAGCTTTGATAAATTTTTCACTTAAATGGCATGTTGATCCAAAGCTCTTGGCTTGTAAAGTCATGTTTTCTTTTGTCTGAGAGTCAAAGGTTGGGTTTTCAATTAAGGCATTTACAAATATCCACATGTGATTTTTCACCTGCAATAAAAGTTGATATTAAGTTACTAAAAATGTATTCATGCTTTATTCATAGCCTTTCTCTTCTTCCTTGACTTTAGAAAAAGAAAACTGCCAAAAGCATATACCTGATGCGCTTTTACTGCAACACCACCCTTGTTCTTCTTCTTCACAACATCAACAAGTTTAGTCACAATCTGATCAGCTACATAATCAACATGTCTGCCACCCTAATAAGGAAAAACACCAAACTGTAAAACTCAGTATCCTCAAAATTTTAATAATCAAACATTAAAAAAAAAAAACTAATTTAGCCTCCTTTATACCAAGCTAGCCCAATATTCAAGTCCACTTTATATATTAAAAACAATAAGAACACCTACATGTAAAGATAAATCATGATTAATAATTCAAGAATAAAATTACCTTGGAAGTAGCAATGCTGTTGACAAAGCTAATTTGCTGAAAGCCTTTTTCACTCATTGTTAAACACACTTCCCACCTGTGGTTTACTTGTTCATGTACTACTTTCAGTGGGTTACCAGTTTCATCCAACTTGTCCTTCAAATACATGTCCACATAACTACGAAATCCTTTTACCTGTACAAGAATTAAAGGTAATAATATTAAAAAAGTTACTAAAAAATATCTGGAGATAGCATCAGATAAAAAAAAATAGGTTGAATGATAGACTATGAGGACTTTTCAAAACCAATGCAATGATGTTCACTGATAGGCTTAAGAGAATGGTTATTAAAGAAAGACACAGGCCAAGGTGGGTGGCTCACTTGAGCCCAGGAGTTCAAGACCAGCCCGGGCAACACAGTGAGATCCCCATCTCTGTTAAAAAAAAGAAAAAAAAAGTGAGCTGGGCATGGTGGTGCTGCCTGTATTTCCAGCTGCTCCGGAAGCTGAAGTGGGATGACTGCTTGAGCCTGGGAGGTGGATGCTGTAGTGAGCCGTGATTACATCACTGTACTCCTACCTGGGTGATAGAGCAAGAGGCTATCAAGAAAAGAAAAAAAAGGTAAAATAAATAAATAAAAAAAAGGACATGAAAGTATCTTAGGTGTTTCTTTGAGAAAGAAATTCCTTCAGTAAATTTAAAATGAGCTGATTTAAAAATGTGGCATACCGGCTGGGCGAGGTGGCTCATGCCTGTAATCCCAGCATTTTGGGAGGATGAGAAGGGTAGATCACCTGAGGTCAGGAGTTTGAAACCAGTCTGGCCAACATGGTGAAACCCTGTCTCTACAAAAATTAGCCAGGCACAGTGGTAGGTGTGTGTAATCCCAGTTTCTCGAGAGTCTGAGGCAGGAGAGTTGCTTGAACCCGGGAGGTGGAGGTTGCAGTGAGTCGAGGTCGAGCCACTGCATTCTAGCCTGGGTGACAGAGCAAGACTC